GATTTCTGTGCTTCCTCCTCCATCCTCCTGGATACACTATGCAACTCATCAGCCCTCAATGAGCAAAATTCTCATCCTTTCCCTATTCTTGCCTATTGTTGAGCTGGAGCCTCCTCCTGAGTGGCCCGCTCTGGTCCTGAGGATTGCTCCTTTCACCTCCCAAGAAGTGGCTTCCCACCCACCAGCCTCTCCAGCCCCCACAGAGATTTTTATTAAAAGAAAAACAGTTTTGCTGTGATTCCTCCCTTCTCATTCCATGTATTTTTGCACTGTTTTCCTATTTCCTATTTCCAAAAGTAAACACAGAGATGGACACATCACTCAGCCAATGGGAATAACGTATACGATGATGCATCTGTTGTTAGGGAACTGTGGGCAGTAGAGATCAAAGGTTAAAAGCAGCCACTTCTGTGGTTACTCTTGCTATACCAACAACAGTAAAATGGTGATCCTGGATCTAGACAACTAAAGAATGCACAATGAAGTGCAGCGACCTTAGAATGGACTGTTGATTCTCTCACTGGTTTCAGAAAATTAATCCTACTACACAGGAACTCTGGAACTGGGTCTTTTAAATTTAACTCACACAAGGACTGAGACAGAAAATAAAAGATCTCGTCATTCAAAACTGTGTCATGGGAGACCAGGTTTCAACTGAAATTGCTGCTCAACTCTACCAATGTTCACATAGGCCAAAGATTATATAGAAAACAGATAAGGAGATATACACCCACCAAATCCTACGAAAAATTCTATCAGGCAAATACAGCATGTCCTACATTTCAAGTTGTGCCACAAACTTATTAGTCTCTGCTTCTTTATCTCTAGCAACTACATTCCATTCCTCTTTCTGCTATACAGTATATGCATTTTTTCCTTGAGAAATTTTTGCTCAGACCAGCTTTGTTTGCCTTATAAAGGTGTTTTTTTTTTTTTAAATCTTTCTGGATGACTCAGTAACCTACAATGGTAAAAATTCCCCATGGCTTATTGTGGTTTATAAAGCTCAGATTTACCATAGTGAAACACAGTGATACCTTGGCTCACGAACGCCTCGGTTCATGAACAAATCGGGTCACAAACAAAAATGTCATTAAAATTTTGACATGGGTCATGAACTCCGCATTGGGTGGCGACCAAGATCGCAGCCATCTCCCCACCCCACCCCAGTGGAGAGATGGTCACGATCACAGTTGCTTTCGTTCAGGGAAGGCATGCGTGATCAGAGGCGCACTCCTGCAGGAAAGATGGGTGCAATCTCAGCCATTCCCCCCCACCAACCAGCACGATCGAGGCCATCTCCCCACCCCACCCCCGAGTGGGGAGATGGCCGCAATTGTACTGGGGGCGGGGGGGAGATGGCTGAGATTGGGCCCATCTTTCCGGGATGACAGGCACCTGCAGGGATGACAGGCACGATCTCAGTTGTGCTGTGGGGGTGGGGAGATGGCCATGCTTGTGATCGGGGGCGGGGGGGAGATGGCTGCGATCTTTGCTGTTGTCACTTTGCTTCACATTTTTCTGATTTAAAAAATGGTTACTGAACGAATTAACCTTATTTACATTGAACCTTATGGGGAAATTAACTTGGCTCATGACCAATTTGGGTCACGACCAGAGTCCTGGAACAGATTAAGTTTGTGAGACAAGGTACCACTGTACAAGCAGCCCCCAGGTTACAAATGAGTTCTGCTCCTGAGAAAACAGAAATTAATTTTTAAGTCTTTTTGGGGGGGGGGGTAAATCGGATCATGTATAATCAACCCCCCATGTTTGTGGGGCTTGGGGGCACAGAACTCCCATGAAAGAGGAAAAAACATGAATATCTCTAGCCCTTGCCGACTGCCTGAACTCAGCAGCACCTCCTTCTTTCAGCAAGAAAATGCCAGAGGGTTTCCCCCTCCCGATGAGCAGGTCAGGAAGGCCTGTTCTGCTTCCTCTCTCTTTATGGCGAAGCTTTGGAGGCCCTCCTTCTCTCCTCTTCTGCTCCCTCCCTCCCTCATTCTTGTGATTACAATATCCCATGGTAGGCCTTTAACTCAAATTTTTAAATGAATAGCCTTTTTGTTTGTAAGTATGGTTGTTCATAACTTGGACATTCGTAACTCCCTGTACCATGGTTAGGTTCAGACAATGAAAGAGACCAACTACAGGGGAAAAATCCCAGCATGGCTTGTTGTGTTGTGCAAACCCAGCCATGGGTTTCAAGAGGGTAGCAATAAGGGATCAGTGCAGCTGGCGTCAAGGGATCACTCTCCTCAAGCAGGATCATTGCTGGCTGAGACCAATGGGAGTTGCAGGCCAGAACAGCTGGAAGGCAGCAGATCCAGGAGCCTACGCTAGATGGTTGGCTTCGGGTAGGGCCAGCACCAACATCTTACATAATAGGGCAACTTCCGGGCACCAGCACCCTGGGAGGGCCCACTTGCGATGCCTTAGGGCAGAGTTTAATTTTTTTCCTTTCTGGGCTGGCATTCTGAGATGCGCCAGGTTGCTCTGGCCCCTCTTTCCAGTCCCCATATGCCCATGAGCTAGCGTCACTCTTGGGCAGGTGATACATTAACAGGGTGGGCTAGACCCATCTGCCCTTGGAGCACTGCTGCTGCAACCTGCTAAGAGTGGGTGGTGTACCAGAGAGGATCTTTCAAACCTGATAGTGGAGGTCCATACTTCTAGGGAATATCTACCTACAAGTTTGCTATAATTTGCTGGTTTGTTACCACACACAGAATACTTTTATGAGTAGGGGTGGCTACATCGTTCTTGCTGGACGTATGGATGGGATTGCCACACTGGTGGCTTAGCGCATCTGCAGTTTCGACAGGGAATGAACCAAGTCTTGTTTCCATTTGGCTTGCATGAATTAGGTGTGCCATAGTTTTCCATGTAAATGAGTGCTGAGCTTGGAGGAGGAAACAGCAATAAGGGGGAACCACAACAGATTGATTTCTATTGCAATATCTTAGTAAGGCATTGTTCTCATGCAAAGGCCAATGGGTGGTGGAATCATCTTTCCAAAGAAGCCCTGATGACATGCGGGGAGGGAGGGAGGAGTGTCTGTCACTCTCCTAATCCCTGTCTCCCAAATTTTCCACCACTGGGACAGTGGGATTGCTTGTGTCCATACATGAAAGTTGTGATCCCATGTGTGTTCAGACAGAAAGAAGTTCTACTATTCCCAGGATGCTTGTTGGCAGATGCTGGTGGTTGTACAACTTCTTTCCGTCTAAAAACGTATAGGATGCACTCCTACAGCAGATGTTCATAAGCCTTTACATTTGGAGGCTCATGAGCTCCCAGTGCAAGGTGTCAGGCGTGGCAGTGGTCTCTGCACCCGCCATTTTCTCTCAATGGCTGATTTAGAGCCAGAAGCAGGAGGGAAGGGGACTGGGTGCTAGTTGGAATGGTTGCAACCACGGAGCCGTGGCCTCCTCCCCTTCCTGTCCCCTTTCTTCCAAGACCCCATTGCCAACAGGAGCAAGGGGACAGCCAGAACGGTTCTTTCCCTGCTGACTGTGAGGGAGCAGGATGAGTCCCAGCTGTGTGATTTTGCCCTTAATCGTTTAGGATTATAACCACCTTCCCAGGAATAAGCTATTAATTGAATTCAGTGGGTGACACGTCCAAGCATAGGAGAGCTCCACTGGAGCTTAATCCTGTGTGCACTTACCTGGGTGTAAGAGCTGTTGCACTCAGTGGACCCATTTCTCAGTGGTGACGCACAGCATTGTGCTTCTAGATTTCTAGTGCTGAAGCCATGTGCTGTTTGACAGCAGAAGCCTGGCTTTTCCACTGAGGATGAGAAATGCCCCCAGGAATACATGTGGGAGAAGGAGGCCCATCTGGAGCCCTTGTGTATCACACCTTGCAGGAAGCACGACAGAGATACCATCTGTTTCAAAACACCATAACTCATTTGCCAGCGATACCATGTTTGCAGGACACAAGAAACACGCTGTGCCACCTGCCTTCCATTTGCTTTATGTTGCTAAGAGCTCTCTGCTAACCAAAGTCACTATGCCTGAGCCTCTTTAGAAATTTCTGTCAGAAACAGGGTGGTGTTCTGGAGTGCAGTATCTTACTTCCTGAAAAGTCAAGGGAGGAATCTTTTGAAGAATTGGCCACCAAATGGAAGGTCCACCATATGGTGCAGACACATATGGAAATGTAAATATGCCATTTGTATTCCTTTTCTGCTTCTCTTCTAGCAGTGGGAGCTGTAGGACTTCCTTCTGTCTAAGCATGCATAAAACATGCATAAAGCTCTAAATAAATATAACTCTCTCTCTCTCTCTCTCTCTGTCATCCCATTCAGCTCCTGACCTCATCACAACAGCCAAACCACCTGGTGTGTTCAGTATTTGAAATTTCCCTTGTAATTCCTCTGGGCTGTTTCCTCTGGAGGGCGGCCACTTCAGAAGCGAGTTGGCCAGAGGGCACTGCAGAAACCAGAAGTGTCTGGTTTGCATTCGTGCTTTTCGACTTCAGCTGCCCACCCATGTATCAGTCCAGCAGCGCCAGGGAGCACAGCCTTCCAGGAGGCGCAAGGAAATGTTTAAGAAGGCAAGGAGGTTGGCGGTTGCTCAAGCACCTTTAAGGAGACTCAAGTTGCAGGGAAAAGGGGTGGACCCATGCAAATCACAGCGGCTGGGTTTGAAGAAGAAAAAAAAAACCCATACAGGTCTGGGACGTTAAATGCAAACTCAAGAGGGTGGAATTCCCTCCCAGTATACAAACATCCCTGTTGCAACTTTTCTTCCAGCTCCAAGAAGAGATGCAATCCCGCCGAAAGAGAAACTACCAAGATGCTGAGTGGGAATCGCAGGAACTGACCCATATTTCGCGCTCGCGGCTTCTTCATCCCTAGGAGTGCCTTGAAAGGTTGTTGCTTAAGGGAATAAGAGAAGAAACTAGTAACGAACGACAACATTTCTTGCTTCAAGTCACGCAGCGTTTTCAAAAGAGGGGCGCCAGTTGCCCTCATTCCCTCTCTTCAAGTTATGCCCCCCCAGGAGTTACTGGATTACTCCCCCACCTTGAGAAGATGCAGCACCCCCAGCCGGGGCAGTGGCTCCGAGCTGGGCATCAAGTGTGTCCTCATAGGGGACGGGGCCGTGGGCAAAACCAGCCTGATCGTGAGCTACACGACCAACGGATACCCCGATCAGTACCAGCCAACCGCCCTGGACACCTTCTCAGGTATGCAAGCGGCTGGACAGCTCGTTCCTCGCTGGCGGGGTTGGGGGAGCAGGAGCGGCATTTCGTCTTTGCTGCTGGTGTTTGCACACTTGGTCTTTTACCGGTTATACTGATGGCTGTCAGACCACCGATGCTGCCATCACTGAAAAAACCAAACCAAACCAATAAATGACATGTTGGGCTGGCAGCCTGAGCCTATGCACGTTGCTTTGGAAGTAAGAGCCGAACGAGTTCAGTGGGGCATATTCCGAAGTGTATCTGCTGTGTAGTAAGTCAAGCAGCAATTCAACAGGTGCAGCTTTTCCCAGCAGGCAGATACAGCGAGCAAAATCCCCCCATCCCCTTTATATTGGGGCCTTAACGGGGGGGGGGGGGAATGGAGACCCTATTTGTGATCTTTGTTTCAGATGAAGTGTTGGTGGGTGCAGTTTTCTGTGCAGTTTGGGCTTACAGTTTCAATGTAGGCATGCTACTGCAAACAGCTGATATTCAGAACATTGTACTGTGTAATCAACCAGTGGTTTGTAGGGCTCTGGTGGACCAACATATTGCAATAAAATAAATCAAAGGGGAAGCAATATTTTTCCCATGCCAACTTCATTAACAGCACAATGCCTTGCACTCCTCCTCAGAAGTAAGTCTGACTGAGTTCAGTGAGTCTTACTCCCAGATAGGTGTGCCTAGGATTGCAGCTTAACACAGCATTTAAAACCCAGTGGTGTTGATTTAGTGTTAACATCAATTAGATGTTTTGGAAGAAAAAAAATGTAAATGAATCTTTTCCTTGAATGTTCAACAAAAGGTCACAAAGAAAACAGGTTTGGTCTTTTACTGGAAACCTGGGTAGTAACTCTCCAGGTTACCTAACTGTGCTTCTAGTCTGTTTGACCTGGTTTGGGGCATTTTTTTAACTGGGAGAGTTAACTCAAGAACTTACATATAGCGGGGAGGAGACAGTTGACCTCGTGTTAGTAATTCATTTATTAGGATGAAACTCCAACAGTGTGTGATGTTTGATTAGCTCAGGTCTGTCTATACATCAGTTTCCCACACTGCAGGTCAAGAGAGGAGGCATGAAACCAGAAATGCAGGAAGGGTTACTTGATAAAATAGAGGTACCAGTTCGGATGGTTTGCTTACTAATAGTGAGAACATGCATTATGTCAGCCTTGCACAACCTGGAACCCTCTAGATGTGTTAGACTACAGTTCCTATTATCCCTTGGCCACACATGCCCTGGACATGCTAGCTGGGGATGATGAGAGTTGTAGGCCAGCACCTCTGGAGGACAGTGGGTTGGCAGAGTGATGAAGTACTTACTGAACACCTGCAGCTGTTATGGAATAGAGCCATGCAATATATTTGTGTTCCCGTGGAGGACAATGTTAGGCAGCTGATGGGATACTTTATACCCACAGCTTTCCAAGAGGTTATAGCCACTCAATAGTATGTTACTGCTCTGCAAATGGTTGTCTGTTTTCACCTCTGTGTTCCCTTTCCAGGAACGGTAAAAAGCCTTGCTTTTTCAATGGCTTGTACTGATGAATATTTCGTATTTTATTCATCTTCATTTAGTTCAGCTTTGGAAGCTATGTGAATTCATTCATATGGGAACTCTTTAAAAATAAATACATGGAAAAGTAATACTTGGAAATAGGACTGGTTTTCTGTTAGAGTGATTGCTTCCCCTGAGTGTCAAAAATCCTAGTGCCTGGCCTGTGATGATGGCTGACCATCAGCACCATCTCTCAGGGCCCTTCAGAGCCTGCTAGTGGGAGAGTCCCTGCCCCAAGGGCGTTTCTGGCAGTCTATGGATGCCTTGTAAGGAGAAGGAAAGGGCTCTCCTGGAGTGCTGGTTAATTGCTCCAGGGCAAAGAGCCCTTTTGGAGGAAGTGCTGGGTGAGGCTGTTTTGTGTATCCCTAATTAGGATGGACCTTGAGAACTACAGCTTCCACCCACAGCCAGCAAGCCTAATATTTGTGCTGGGTGAGGATGATGGGACTTGTAGACAATACATCAGGAAGGTGCCAGGTGGAGGAAGGGTTGGTCTAAGGAGTTGTGGGGAGGCAGAGGTGTGGAAAGGTTTGGGGGATTTTGTATCTGGCCCTGTGAGGCCTTTCATCCAAAACTGGGAAGGGTTTGGAACATGCTGGGGTCTCAGATTGTAACAGGCTGTAGCAATCAAGAGTATGTTGACTGAATGTTTCTGAGGAAGTGGGCTTTTGACTACCCCATCCTTATGGTGTCATACCGTAATCTGTCTTCATTGTTGTAACTGCAACCTGCCAGTCTGAGGTTACAGTCTTATGCAGCTAGCTAATTCTAAGGTGCCTAGTTGAACACAGGGATTTCCTTATCTGCAGATGTGGAAGGGGGTCTTAGAAAGGAATGGCTGCAATTCTGTGTATGCTTTTGAGAGGGAGACCCAGTGAGTTCTGAAGCCTTCTTCCTAAGTAAGAACTGGCAAGCCTTGATCATATTTGTAGATATTGTTTTGGGTAGGCTCTTCTTGGGTAGAAGGTTTCCAGAAGTATTCCTCTTTATATTTTGGAAATACTTTTATGTCACTTAAATACACACACACATTTAGACTGAGATATTTGGCAGAGGATGGGTGTAGGAATAGAGTATATTCATCTAGTTATGAGAGGGCAAAAATAGCTAGTTTAGTGCAGTGGTGAAGAAACCATTTCACATTTACAAGTTCTCAGTCTGGAATTCCGCTCTGCCTTAAACTCACTAGGTGGCGCTCTCTCATTTGCTGCCCTTCCCCTCCACCTGCACCATAGGAATAAGTCCAGGATATTTGCAGGATTGTGATAAGGATTAAAATATATGCAAACATTTGTACACTCTAAATGTTAAGTGTTATTTACCTTTCACGTGTGTAGGAGTGGCATGTAAGGCGAATTTGCTTTTTGCTTCGGTTGAATCGTGTTGTCTCCTGTAGGAAAATGCATAACTTGGTGAAGTTAGGAAGAAGTCTGAAGTAAGATACCTATTGTTATAATTTGGAGCATGTGAAGGCCAGGTGACACAATGGACATTGGTTCTAATTTTATATAAAAAGTCCTCATTCTGCTAATGGCTTATGCAATTAATTGTTCATTTATTTTAAGGTTTATCAGCTGCTTTTTTTTTTTTTTTTTTTGCATTCTGCTATATACTGTATTGTAATCAAAAAGGATTAACATTTTTAGAAAAGTTTTGAAGCATACAATCAGATGCCAACTGAGACATAAAAAGTCCTACAACTCCCAGACAGAGCATGCTGGATGTTGTAGGACTTTTTGTTTTGGTCCAAGCATGCCTAGGATTGCATCCTCAACCATTCAAACAATTGAGTTGCATTCTGCATACACTCACTTTCAAAAAGCACTTTTATCACTTTAGAAACAAATCTCGGTATCTGATAACATGAAGGCTGTGGTGGCTTTGCTCCTTCCCTGTTTCCATCTCATCGGATGGCAAGCCTTCTGGAGGACAGGCAAGGCCTCGCCTGGGTCAAGCCCCAAGGTCCGGATGATGGCCAGAGGGCTGGATCCAGGAGCAGCATTCCAGGGATGGGAGGCTGAGGGAAGGTGCCTCTGCCAAGTTTTAGAGGCTCCCTTTCCCCCTGCACTGCAACTCCTCCCATTCCCCTGTGTTGCACCTTTAGGAACCAGCAGAGGCTGCCATGGTGAGCAGGGTGGCAGAGTCTGCCGGTCCAGTTACGTATCTGTAAATATGGACTGAACCCATCGTATACAGCAGCTTTTCCTCTCTGCCAATTGCTTTCCAAGAGAGGGTCACAGGAGCTGCATGCCTAGCACAATGCATGCTGCAGATGCCCGTTGACCTGTCCGGTTGAAGCAATCCTTGCAGTCCCCTTTGTAATGCTGTTGGTTTATTTTCCACACTACTCCAAGGCCAGGATACAATGCATCCTTATCTGACATTTTCTTCCCCCTCTCCTTGAGAGATAGCAATTACCCAATGAATTTTCATAGCCAAGTGGCCAATTGATCCTTGGCTTCCATATATTCTGGCAGTGCTGTTTGGTGCTCCCTCAAATTCATGTGTACTTCAAATAGTCCACAAAGATGTGTTATTAGTTTTCCTTGCCAGGTCAAGGTAAATGAAACAAGGAACTCAGATTATCTTCTGATCCTAGATGCAAGGAGAAGCCTTAGCCATAAACCCAAATTAGAGCGGCTATAAAACTTAACTGGGGATTTTTCCCACAATAAATGACACAAAAGAATTGTTTTCGATATGCTACTAGCAAACAAAGCCAGGTCTGAGTAGCTTTAGTTTGGTATGATGCAGTACTCAAAGTTACACAGCTGAAAGAACTGGGCTCATCATGTTTGCCTCATCTGAAGGAAGTCATGCCCGCTGGCATCCCCATGAAACGCCTCTGCCACCTTGGTGGGGGGATCTACCCTCTCCATTCCCTGGAGCGGGGGGCGGGGGTCTGCCTCACAGCAGGGAGAAGAAAGGGCAGCTGCCATTTGAAGCACACCCTCCTGGCTTCACACCTGGTCAACATGCTGGCAGGGAAATGGCTGGTGATGATACTGCAGGCTTCAAACAGAGAGACATTTAATACATTCAATACATTTAATTGGTGCATTTAAAAAATTAAATAACTGCACGGCACACAGCCCTATGGGCTCCTTAGCATGCACGCCAAGTTTTAAGTGCCTGGGTATCCTGGTCTTGGAATTGTGGTACTGATAGAAGGACCCCAATCCTCTTTCATTATTATTCTAGAAGATGCACTGACCATAGACCTCTCCTCAAGGTTGTGCTTCAAGAATAGAAAGATTGCATCTTTTCAGTGTTCAATTTCTAATATTTTTGCTCTTTTCCCATATTCTTTGCAGTTTAGGAATGAACGGGGCAGTTGTTCTTGGCTTGCATCCCAAGGCCAGGGTAACACTGACTCTTGGGATGAGGATGGTGGAGCCTGGGAAGGGAGGCCTGCAGGCATAACATGACACAGGAGAGAAAGCTT